TTCTTTTAGAGTTTGGAGAGAAGTGAGAGTGACAGAGACAAGCATTATATAGAGCTCAACTTCCAGGTACACCGTACGCACTTAACCCGAGGCTTGTTTCATTTACCGGATCCATTCGGGTACGTCATTTGTTAATGGGCCGGGTTTAATTATGTAATGGGCCCAAAGTCATTAATTATTTCATTATTATGTCCAGCTATGTTAGATTTGATTTCACATAATACTTGACCATTTTGTGAATGTTTTATGTTATTGAGAGAGGAAATATTGTTTGAGCATTTAGTTCTTTTTCTTGTGTGAATTTTTTTTTGTTTCCTTCTCATTATGGTCACCTACCAATAATTGAGTCTGTTCATACGCACACGTTTTGTGTTGTGGTTTCAGATTTGGTTTGTACTATTCACATATGATCTCAAGCTTGTAATAATTCTCAATTATTTGGTAGAATTTTTCTTTCTTTCTAAAAGAAGATTTGGCAAGTGATCAGAAATTGAAGTATCTATCTATAAGGGAAGTTCACAAGAACCCCATGTGTTGATTGGTGGTTAATCTTTGGTTTGATTTCAATAACGTATACACAATATTGTAAGAAAAAAAAAAAACTATATTGTTTTAACCATTTGTCGTGATAATAGGCTAACTTTCTAGTATTATTTTGTCAAATTATTTCAAAACTAATAGGTTATTATGTTCTAATGTTATTTTCAAAATGTAGATTCAATGTGTCTGTTGAAGTAAAAACTAAATTGTTCATTTTTCTTCGTGATATTGAGGATTGTAAAGAAACCTACTAAACTAAATTTCTATGTTCTTTTTAATATTTTCTAAAATTCATAGGTGTTAACCCACCGGTTACAAAAATGTTATGTTTTGATGTTATTACTAAAAAACAGATAAAATTATATATTAACCATGATAAATTAAATCGTAAATGGGCTCATATTCTTTTATCTACTACTTAGATCCTATCTTAATTTTCAATGGGAGTTTCTCAACATATTTTTTTGGTTATTCCATTTTGTGTTATGCAGCTAATCCAAAATTCTATATCAAACAAATATTAGAAGTGACTCTTGGAATGAAACTTGAGATCTGAGATAAAATCTTATATCTCACCCACCGGTCGGATATTTGTCCGGATCCAAAATTTAATCATAGACATAATTTTATATCATTACAAAAAAATAATTGTAACAAATACATTTTAAAGATACAAAATATAGATTAACGATGCTTCACCTATCACGCTTAATTAGATGTATTTTCTTAATTATAGCAGTTCGAAATCAGAATTCCAAAACTTCTAGCATGCACATGCATGGGCTTGAACATACAAAAGGGGTTGCGCGACAGATCGGTGGTAAAAATAACAAGAATAATTCGTATGCCTGCATGGGCTTTAAACATACAATATTGTATCATAATAATAATGGAATGCAAAATACCGCATGCACATACTCCAGTCCAAGAATTTTGGTTTTATATCCAATCAAAAAGACGAGCTATGATTCCGAAAGGACATCGAAAATTAAATAAGAACTCAAATAAAAGTTTTGTCTCTATCCAATAGTATAAAAAAAAAGTGAAATAGAATCTGAAGTTTTGACCAAGTCAAATTTATAGGGTTTTGTTATTGTGGCCATCACTTACACTTCTCCAATGTCACAAACGACAACATCGAACCCAATACCTTCACCACGCTTTCATTGAATCTTACATATATGGACCAGCTTCTTCGTTATTCGATGTTCTCATTTTTGTCTTCAATGTTTTAACATTTTAACGACCAAATCATTATTGCAAATAAATGGTTCAAAATTACTTGTTACAACAGAATTACTAGTAGTCAGAGTACCAAACGAGTCAAGCATAGATTAATTTGTGATTTTCTAAAACCGTCCTTTTTTAAAGTATGCAAAACGATAATTTTTTTTATAATTCACGATCTTAAGTCTCGAGATCGGTTCTAGGAGTATTAGCATGATACTCGCGGCACAGCTAATTGAATTGACATGTCCATAATTAAGGCCAAGTTTTGATTAGTTTATATGACTAAAATCCATGTAATAATGACCATTGATGGATAAATGAATTCACATTTTATTATAAATATAAAATGTGGAATTACGCGTATATAGGGCAAGATGAATGGTCTACGTCTTTGGGCCACGCGGGCCTTTCGGATCCAGCTGTTCATATGA